ATATTTAAGCTAGAGCTTACATAAACTTTTCTTATGCTATGGCTTCATAGCACCAAAATGTACATAAAAATATAGCTGTATAACTTATAACTTGGTGGTCAAGTAAACTATAGAGAGAGAGAGGGAGATAGAGAGAGAGAGAGTGTGTGTAGCATTAATTGATAGTTCTTTAAAATAAAAAAGTAAACTGCTGCAGAAATTCTTTCTTGCTCACTTGGTTCTTCATAGTCTGGATTTTTTGGGTAGGACCATGATAATCTCTTCCTCAGACATTTTTAACCTGGCTTTTCCTTAGTCTTTTCTCATTTTCTGGGGCCTTTGAATACACAGTCTGCCCTCTGGCCAGGTATTTCCATTCTCCCTCTGCCTTGTTTCCTCTGCAACTGTGATCCAATTTAATGCCAGTGATAAACATATTCACCCTAGCAGAATCCTCATGATGGTTTCCATAGCAGGGATTAGTCACTGGAGAGTATTCTCCAGGATTGAGGCTGGAGAAAAGAATTATATAGCTCAGAAATGATTTGAGAACCCTGAATTTTTACCTATTCAGATGACTTCTGAATAGGTCATCGTCTTCTCCAGTCTGTTCTTTGTACTATCAGGTTACTTTTTAAAACTGTTATCCCTTTCTTGGTTAGAAAAATTGATGCCTTCTTGCTTGTTAGAGAAAATTTGGCAAGACGTGTTTCTCTCCATTCTCCTTATTGTAGCCTCTCAATAACAACCACAAATTTTACACACATAAAGATTGAAATTCTTAAATTGAGTTATCTGTAAAACAGACGAACTTTATCTGTACCACTTTATCTGTAATGTGATAGTAATGCACAGTGATGCAGTGTGGTCAAATGCATTGTACAGTAATGCAGTGTGGTCAGATTGTGATTATTTTGAGCACAGTTGATGGCTTGGCTATCAGGAAATAATGCAACATCCCTGAAATCCTATGTACAGTCTGATGTGTATGTATTTTTATAGGGATGGGGAGGACATTTCAATTTTTACCAGATTTTTAAATCTCTGATCTCAATACTAAGCTCTCATTAATGAAGCTTCTTAATTCTAATCTAAGCCTTTCTCTCTTTCCTTGCGCTAAAATACACAATACATGAAATTCTACCACTATTCAATAAATGTAGGCTTAATCACTATCAAATATATTTTTAAAAATGTGTAAACTACCAGAAGCTAGAGGTCATTTCATAAGCATTTTTATACCCTAAGTGCCAAGTGCATAGCATAGCTCAGTGGTTCCCATAAGTGTTGATAATATTCTGTAAGATATGTGATGTATACATTTAATATTTATAAGTCAGATACTAGGTGTAAGTTTACCAATTTTTTTGGTAACTTGACCATACTCAGAAAGGTAATTATGATAGTTTCTCAGTTATTCTGCATTCTTTTGCAGGTTGGTATAGCTGAGTGCTGTAGCTAAAGATTAATCTGTATTTGTTATGTTTTTTCCCAAAAAATCCTTTTGATGGAAGATGCTTTTAAAAAAAGATATCATTCTTCCCTTAACTAAATGTCACTATGAATGATACTTATTACAGCATGTTGTAAGAGACTGGTGCTCTTGGCAGTTTTTTAACATCTAGAATACACTCCTGTTTCTAACTGTTGTGATTGGCCTTTGCTGTCCCCTCTTGGTAACTGCTTTGTTAACACTTCTGTTACTTCAGAAAGTGGATAGTAGTGATAAACTAATCCACAATTATGTCAGCTACGTATTTCAAGGAAACTATTTGGTATATATTGTTATCAGAGGAGAGTTGATTATCTGCAGAAGTAGTGAGAGATTATTTATTTGCCTGTGAAATAAAGTACATGAGCCTTGGAATAAATATTTTTGCTTAAGTCTTTTTAAAACTTTCCTAGGTCCTGATGAATAAGTATCTGGGTGGTGGGTGAAAATTACTGGCTAAAAATGACAGTGATTTTTTGCTTTGTTAGGTAATTTTAACAAAAGTAAACAACTTCTTCAAAAAGCTGTAGAACGCGGAGCAGTACCACTAGAAATGCTAGAAATTGCCCTCCGGAATTTAAACCTTCAAAAAAAGCAGCTGCTTTCAGAGGAGGAAAAGAAGACTTTATCATGTAAATATTAATGTATACTAATGCTTTTCTGTGATAGGTAGTACTTAAAGATTCAGGATAGTATTTTGTAGAAAAATATTATTTATTGTAGAATGGTCAAAATCTAAGATTAAATTGTAAAGGAGGTAAGACTTTGAGAAGTAAAAAAGTCTTTACAATCCTGTGCAAATTTATCTTTTTTTTTTTTTGCTAAGCTTTTTTTGTTAACACATGAAAAACAGCTCTAAGCAAGAGAATGGGTTTTTTTTTTTTTTTTGCTTTTAGAAATAGGGAATGTGCTTTTACTGTGGGGGAATAGTTATATAATTTAAGAGAATTTGAAGAAGTTGTTACAGAATTATCTTGGTAACATCTTCGTGTCTGCATATCTTACTTGGGGACAAGTATTTACTATGAATTGACTTTTAAAATATTTGCAAGATTACTTTTTTGTACTTTTTTATTTCTTACAAATTTAATCATAGTTTCAAAATTTTTACAGCGTCTGCAGTATTAACTGCCCAAGAATCATTTTCCAGTTCACTTGGGCATTTACAGAATAAGGTCAACAGTTGTGATTCCAGAGGACAGGCTACTAAAGCCAGGTTTTTATATGGGTAAGGAAACTAAAGCAGTTTTCTCTGTAAATACGTGTGTGTTTTTTAATGTAACTACATGTAGCTACGTGTATGTTTTCATATATGTGATAATACTTTTTCGCAGTAGAGTAGAAGTACATATTAATATTATCCTTTGAAAAATTGGGGGTATTTTCTTTCTGTTTAGGGAGAACATGCCCCCACAAGATGCAGAAATAGGTTATCGGAATCCATTGAAACACACTAACAAAACTAAACAGGTAAGTTATTTTCAATCTGCTTGATTAAGGTGGTGAAAATTAGGTTTTTATTTCCTAGTTGGTTATTCAATCTTTCAAAATATTTTTAGTCATGCCCATTTGGAAGAGTCCCAGTTAACCTTCTAAATAGCCCAGATTATGATGTGAAGAGGGATGATTCAGTTGTACCAAGTTTTATAAAAAGGTATGTTGAATTTTAATTTTTAAGATTTGTTGTCCATATGTGAAGACTGATGGCAGAATGGTCTTAAAGTCTTTTACTGAGTAATAGTAATTATGATTAAATTTTTATTCAGCTTTAGAAGATAATAAGTCTAAATGCTATCAGGAACAAAGAAATGAGTGGAGAAAATGACTTTGCTTTTTCACTCATTAAATGTATTCATTAAAGGAACAAATAGGAAAAAATATTAAGTCAGCATTAAGCTTAAAAGACTGATATTTGAGGATTTTTCACTTATGGGTAGGCTCTCTAATAAGAATTTCTTGCTGTTGTGTTTGAGAGTCTCTGTAACGGGTGGAAGGAGGTCTGGGAACAAATATTTGCTACGAATATTTCCAGGGGAGAATCACTGTTAGTGGGAAAGATGATTATTCATTCTTTTGCTTCAGTCTAAGCCTTCAAGAAGTGGGACCAATTAGGTAGAGATGAAATACTGTTTATTACATCCAGTGTGTGCCCCTTCCCTCAATTTGCATGTTTATTCCCTGTTAAGAAATGGGCATGTAGCATCTAGCTCAGCTAAAGGAGAGTTTTTTTGGTCTATTCTTAATTCTGATCACCATTTATAATACTGTTTATGTTGGAAAAGGCTCCTTACAGTCCAGAGAACTATTTTGCAAATTAACTTTAGAAATACAACAGACTTTTTTTAGTTAGCATCTTTTATAATTACATTTCTATTATATTTAGACTTGACTAAACATTGACATTATTGACATTAAAAGAACATTTTGGTCATCAAGGTTAACCTTTGAAGTCTTAATCACTGTCATTTCATCTTGTTTGTCTCTATTTCAAATACCTAGCTCAAGAATAAAGGAAATGTTCTCCCACTCCCAAAAATTAAAAACAAAAGCAGAAAAACTGCAGCCATTTTCTTGGTTCCTATTATTGATAGACAGTGCTAGGTACTGTGAAGGCCCACAGAAGTGCTTATGCCCCGGTTCTTATCCTTTACCTATTTGTAATCAGAAATGTATTTTCATCTATATACTTTGCGTTTCCCACAGTCTAACCTTGATTCCAGTTGTTGCTTATTAGATAATAAAGAAGTAGGGAACCACCTATCTCTGTCACTTTTGTCATTGCCCAGCAACTAATTTTGTTAGCTAAGTCACCCTTGTATTGGAATTATGTCACTTTAAGAAATGTCCTTTTAAGAGATTTTTTTCAATAAAATATGTATATTGTTAAAAAGCCAACTTAAGATGAAAAACATTGAAAATATTTTTTTTCAAATTTAATATTAAAATTATTTTGTTTCATGGGTAAAAGACAGACCTCTAGATCAGGATGCCGAGATTTGGTTGTGCCTGGATCTAAACCAAGTGGAAATGATTCCTGTGAATTGAGAAATTTAAAGGTATTTTAATTCTATATCATTATATGAATTAAGGGTTCCTGATCTGGGAGGATCAGGATTCAGGGAGCTTTTTCTGGGGAAAGGACTTACAAGTAGTTCATATGTCTGCAGTAGTGTTCCAAGAGGTGTGGGACTGCCAGTGGGAAGTTTTTATTTCTCCAAGGTCAAGGTGGTAGAGCCAGGATCAACAATCTCTTAAGAGAATCATGAAGTAATATTTATAAGGGATGTGTTTAAGCAGATTAGTTGCCCTGGGTTTGGGAATACATGACTCGGGGAGCTATTGCCCCCAAGTTTTGTTTTTTGTTACGTTTAATCATATGATTCTGGTAAGACATCTTAGAAAAAAATGAGAGAGTAAATTGTATTGGGGCAGGGGTGAGGATATAAATAATCAATCCTGACCTCCTGAAATGGCAGAGCAACTTTGTGTGGACTTCAAAGAAAGGAAATAATTTTAGTTCATGGTACATTGCGATTTTTAGTGGCTATGCTCTTACTATAATTGAGTTAAACCCCTGGTATCATGATTTGGGTCTTTTCGATTTTATATTCTTTGTTAATGCCTCTCTCTTTCACGATCTATACTTTAAATATTAATTTTTTCTAATCCCGGCTGTCCTAGAGAACAGTGCATAATTGTGTCAAAAATATTGCTTTCTGGATTTAGAGTAACTACTGTCTTAAGTTATACTGATATTAATTTTGACATGTTATTTTTGGTGATAAAATAGCAATCACAGTAACAAAATACTTAATTTTTTTTTCTTGTCACGAGGCATACTCTGTGTTGAATTCAAACTTTCCAACCCTTTGCATTTTTAAGTGAAATACATTTTAGCAATTGATTAATATATCCACTGAAAGTAAATTGGCCAGATTTATGGTTATGACCCTTCGCATTGCTCTAACTAGTAATTCAGGCAATTAACTTTTGCTGGAAGTTTGTGAGTCTACATGTCATTACAACAGAAAATTTTACAAGCAATCTATATGTAGATAAGACTTTACTATATTGAACAGTAAAAGAAATTAGTATTACTACTATTTATTGGACTTTATTTGATTTTCTTTTTCATGTAGTCTGTTCAAAATATTCATTTCAAAGAACCTTTGATGTCAGATGAAAAGAGTTCTGAATTTATTATTACTGATTCGATAACTCTGAAGAATAAAACTGAATCAAGTCTTCTAGCTAAATTAGAAGGTAAGAGTGTCTAAATCAGTAGACTTATTTCTTTAGTTAAGAAAACCATTTGATAGCTTGAGAAAGCAGACCAACCACCTAAGAATTATGATGTGAAACTGTGTCTATGTTCTTTAATCTTGAATTTCAGTTCATTTATATAGGGTATATGAAAAGTATTGAATCCTGTAGCAAAGGAAGTTTATTTGCCTAAAAGGTACATAAAAGAAAGAGTGGAGGGAAAATGCAATGGAACTGAGTTATTTTTCTCAGCGGGCTTGACAGATACTTTCTAGAAGAGATAAAGAAGCTGTTCTTATATGACAGCTCTCATCTTTTTTCAAGCATTTGGTTTTCCATTGCATGGGTACTGTGATAAATGTTCTCAGGATAGATAAGTGAATGAAAGAGTGTCCCAGGGAGGTTGCAGTTCAGTGTGGGAGATTCACAGAGATACATAAATATAATGCTGAATAAAGTATAGAGATTGTCATGAGAGCCACATAACTGAAATGCTATGAGAATTCAGAAGAGGGAGAAATTAAGGAACTAATTTAGAAGAAATAAGGAAATATTTTGTGGTGATGGCGAAGTTTGAAGAAACAAATTAGGATTTAAATGGGGGGAAATAATAGAGTATTTCAGATGAAGAGGATGACATAGACAAAGAATAAAATGTTTCAGGAACAAGAGACTGTCTAGTTATGCTGCAAGCTGTAACATGGTAGTATGCAAATACGAAATAAGACTAGGTGGACTTTGAATGTCATTAGATTTTTTTTTTTTTTTTTTTTTTAGAATTCAGGGTACCATTAAAGATATTTAAACAGATCGTTAATAGGATGATCATTGTCTAGATAGAAGTTGCCAGATTGGATGTATTAATTTTTTATTTGTTTTAATAGGACTGAGGGGGAACTTTGGGACAAAGTGAGGCTTGCTCTAATGTTTGCCAGGGACTTTCCTGAAAGTCAATTGTCCAAAGAATGCCTCAGTCCCAGGCAAACAGGGACATACACAAAAAAACATTATTTTGGTTGGGAACAGATTCTTATTCCTCGCATTTGGTGGAAAGTGTTTACATTTCATATTTTCTTGCCATCTATCATAACGGGTATGATTAAGAAAATAATCTTTATCAAATATGCTTGTTAATAGTACTCTTAATACCTAATTTAATGTTTTTAAATGAATGTTATTGTCTACCAGTAATACTTTATTAATATAGTAAAGGATACAGTCAGAAACCTGCCAAAATCACAAGAGTGCGCCCAATGAAATAACACAAGTGAACGCATGCTTGTAACCAATACCCAGATCAAAAAGTAGAACATTGCTAGCACTTCAGTAACCTCCTTGATCCCCCTTCTAATCAGTACCTCTCTTCTTCCAAATGTAATCATTTTCTGATTTCTGACACCACAGAATGAAATAATACAGGGTGTATTCTTGTGTTTGCTCCCTCGCTGTTGTTTATGGAACTCATCCATTTTTTATGATGTATACTCTGTTGATTTTTCTTGCCATATAGTATTTAATTAGTGTAAATATACTGTAATTTGTTTATTCACATGTACATGGATAACAGTTTTTTGTCTAGTGAATAATGCTGCTATGAATATTTTGGTGTCTTTTGATTCACATTTGTACAAATTTCTGTTGAGTGTATTCTAAGAGTGGGATTGTTGGGTCATAGGATATGCATGTATTCAGCTTTGGAAGATAGTGCCTAATGGTCTGAAAAGTGGTTGTACTAACCTTAGACCAGCAGTTAAGTTGCTCCTGCTCCTGTTCTTTGCAGTCATTGTATTGTTGGCTTTTAATTTTAGGCATTCTGATGCTATCTAGTGGTATCTGTCTCATTGTGGTTTTAATTTGCATTTTGTGTTTCCTTAATGTCTGCTATTGAACATTTGTTTCATGTATGTATTGGCCATGTGGATACTCTCTTGTAACATACTGCCACTGTGTCACCCAGGTTGCAGTATTGCTGAATTTTCTGTTTTTTTTTTTTTTTTTTCTTTCTTTCTTTCATTGATTTTTAAGAGGTAATTATATGATCTGGGTATAAATCATTAGTTGGAATATGTGTTTGTAAGGGAAAAAACATAATTATTTTTCTTTCCCTTGTTAGCTTCTTAGTTGAGACACTCTCCTGAAAATACAAGTCTGATTAACAATAGAAAAACAAGCAGAAGTTTGTTAACATGTGCTCTACCCATCACCTGGGAGGGTTCACCTCAGAAGTATTTCTTTCGCAGCAGTGGATTTGATTAAATGGTATTTTAACAAAGAGCCATAAATCTTAACTATTGGCAAGACAAAGGAGAGAATAGTTCCAATCTTTAAAAGCAGGAACATGTGGAAAGATAGTAAAATTTGTTCCCAGATTTTTCCGGTGCCTGCTGGTGCTTTCTAGCCCAAGAAGCAAGTGTTTTCTCCAGTAAGGAAGTATTTATATCCTGCCATCAGGCCAGATAGTTCCATATTTTTTTTTTCTTTTTTTTTGAGACAGAGTTTCTCTCTTGTCACCTAGGCTGGAGTGCAGTGGTGCAATCTCAGCTCACTGCAACATCCACCTCTGTGGTTCAAGTGACTCTCCTGCCTCGGCCTCCCAAGTAGCTGGGATTACAGGCATGTACCACCACACCCATTGTATTTCTTGTAGAGACAGGGTTTTGTATTTTTCGTAGATACGAGGTTTTGTCATGTTGGGCAGGCTCGTCTCCAACTCCTCACCTCAGGTGATCTGCCTGCCTCGGCTTCCCAAAGTGTTGGGATTACGGGCGTAAGCCACTGTGCCTGGCCAATATTTCCATAATTTTTAGATGTATCATTTTATCTTTCATCTTCTGGTTTATATTTTTGCTGAGTTTAATGTTTACATATGTATAAGATCAAGTGTCAGGTTTCATTATTTTTCTCGTAATGGATATCCAGTTGACCTAGCACCATTTATTGAAAATATCCTCCTTTAGGCTAGGTGCAGTGGCTCATGCCTGTAATCCCAGCACTTTGGGAGGCTGAGGCGGGTGGATCACGAGGTCAGGAGATCGAGACCATCCTGGCTGACATGGTGAAACCCTGTCTCTACTAAAAATACAAAAAATTAGCCGGGCATGGTGGTGTACGCCTGTAGTCCCAGCTACTTGGGAGGTTAAGGCAGGAGAAATGCTTGAACCTGAGAGGCTGAGGTTGCAGTGAGCCGAGATCATACCACTGCACTCCAGCCTGGGCGACAGAGAGAGACTCTGTCTCTAAAGAATAAAGGAAAAAAAAATCTTCCTTTATCTCACTGACTTGTAAATTAGTAGATTCTATGTATGGTTTCTGGCTTTGGATTCTTTTCCATTCCATATTCATTTTTGTCTTTTTATTTTTTTGAGACAGGGTCTTGCTCTGTCATCCAAATTGCAGTACAGTGGTGTGATCACAGCTTATTGCAACCTCTGCCTCCTGGGCACAAGTGATCCTTCTACCTCAGCCTACTGAGTAACCTGGGACCTATAGGCATGTGCCGCCATGCCTGGCTCATTTTTTAATTTGTTGTAGAGACAGGGTCTTGCTGTGTTGCCCAGGCTGATCTCAAACTCCTGAGCTCAAGCAGTCTGCCCACCTTAGCTTCCCAAAGTGCTGGGATTAAAAGCATAAGCCACCATACCAGGCCTAATGCTATCTTAATAACTGCACTAAGTCTTGATATCTATCAGTGTAAATTTTTTGACTTTGTTCTTCAAGACTATTTTGGCTATTCCTGGCCTTTGGATTTCCATGTAAATACTAGCATCTATGTTTTGGTTACTACTTTTAAAAATTGGGATTGTGATTGATATTTGATTGAACCTATAAAGAAATTTGGGAGAAATTGACATCTTTACAATTAAGTTTTATAGCCAAATAACCTAGCATATCTTTTCATTCATTTAAAGTAATGAGAGAATTCTTTTCTGTGTAGACGTCTTGTGTACCTTTTGCTAGAGTTATTCTTCAATATGTTTTTTTTTTTTTTAATATACTTTAAGCTCTGAGGTACAAGTACAGAACGTGCAGGTTTGTTACATAGATATACATGTGCCATGGCAGTTGGCTGCATTCATTACCCCTTCATCTACATTAGGTATTTCTCCTAATTTTATTCCTCCCTTAGCCCCTCACCCCGACAGGCCCCTGTGTGTGATGTTCCCCTCCTGTGTTGATGTGTTCTTATTGTTCAACTCCCACTTATGAATGAGAACAAGCAGTGTTTGGTGTTCTGTTCTTGTATTAGTTTGCTGAGAAGGATGGTTTCCAGCTTCATCTATGTCCCTGCAAAGGACATGAACTCTTCCTTGTTTAGCCTACCAACCATATAAAGTCAAGAACCAGATAGATATCACAGCCAAATTCTACCAGAGGTACACAAAGAGGAGTTGGTACCATTCCTTCTGTAACTATTCCAAACAATTGAAAAAGAGGGAATCCTCTCTAATTCATTTTATGAGGCCAACATCATCCTGATACCAAAACGTGGCAGTGACACAACAAAAAAGGAAAATTTCATGCCAACATCCATGATGAACATCAATGCGAAAATCCTCAATAAAATACTGGCAAACCAAATCCAACAGCACATCAAAAAGCTTATCCACCAAGATCAAGTCGGCCTCATTCCTGGGATGCAGGGCTGGTTGAACACATGCAAATCAAAACATAATCCATCACATAAACAGAACCAAAGACAAAAACCACATGATTATCTCAATAGATGCAGAGAAGACCTTCAACAAAATTCAACAGCCCTTAATGCTAAAAACTCTCAATAAACTAGGTATCGATGGAATGTATCAGCCCAAAATATCCTTAAGCTGATAAGCAACTTCAGCAAAGTTTCTAGATACAAAGTCAATATGCAAAAATCACAAGCATTCCTATACACCAATAATAGAGAGCCAAATCATGAGTGAACTCCCATTCACAAATGCTACAAAGATAATGAAAGGAATACAACTTACAAGGTTTGTGAAGCACCTCAAAGAAAACTA